TTGCAAAAATAGTTACTATTATATTGTATAACGGTTATTTTCTAGCTTCTGCCATATTTTTTAGAGAATTATTAATTTGTAAATTTAAAATAATTTACCTTAAATTTATATTTCTGACCTTTTATTTTTGATATCGATTATATAGTCAGTCTCAATTATTTTCTAACAATCCTATATCATTTCTGCTTTAACAATAATATCTTTTTAAATTCTGAGCCTGTTAAGTACATGCAGTGTATCTTCTTTTCCACTAATATTTTTCATAAATATTTTTACATACCATATCTCTAAGATTAATGATTTCATTATTTCTTTGTTATCGGGCTTGTTTTCATCCCTTCATGCTTGCTTCATTATCTGTACACTTCGAAGACAATCATTTCTAAAATTTATCATATTATTTATAATCCTATTGATCTGTCCCATAGGATGCATTAAGCAAACCTTGTAAGTTTGCATTATCTTGAGTATACCTTTAATTATGTTTTCGAATAGTTATTATTGAGATCCGTATTCTGTTCAGTATATTTCTTGGATTAAATGATGTATCACTATTAATATATTCTTCAATCCAGTCTAAGCTGTATTAATATTTCTTAAGATATCTAGTAGTGTCACATTTTCTTGATGTTCTTCTTCAGAATATTTATTACTGTTATTTTAAAAAAGTAATATCTTGAGAATTTGACTTTTGAGCTTTTCTACTGTATCTTTTAACAAAATAATTTGATTATCTTGAGTGATTAATGCTTCATTCTTTAGCTCTAAATGATCCTGATATTTTTTGAGATTATGTAGGGTGAAATAGTATTTTGCTTTTAATCTATCTAACTCATCCTCTCGTGAAATAAGATTTTTTTCAAAATATTTGATATATGGAAGGGTTTTTAGGAAAATCAAGTTCTGAGAAATTTTTGACTAAAATTAAGAGCTTAATACATTTTAATCTAATAACATCAAAAACTAAAATGTAATAAAAATCTCAATTTTGCTAAAAAATTCCCAGAACCTGATTTTTCTAGCAATCAACCCATATAGCTCACATTACTCTAGATCATTTATGAGCTTATGAATCTTTTCTTATTTTTAATGGTAATAGTTTCCTCTTTAGTCAACTTTATTTGCAATTCTAAATTGCTATTTAGTAAATCGAGATATGCCTGTTCAACTCCCATTGATTCCTATTATTCTAATAGATTCTAGCGAGACTCAAAATGTGAATGTATCTTCAGCTTTATGCAAAATTTATTATTAGCCTATTAGCTACCAGCAAAGTGTGAAAAAATTACACGAAGTCTCTTAAAAAGCTGGATATAATTTTAGTTTAAATGAAGTTAAGGATTGGCTTGAAAGACAGGCTGTTCACCAAATTCATATGCTTCGTCTTAGATTTATTTCAAGTGCATCTTTTATTAATGTTACTACATCTATGAATGTTATTCAAGCTGACTTATGCTATATACCTTATGTTCAAATTGGAAATAAAACTTATAAATTTATACTTAATTGTGTAGATATTGCTACCTGTACTAAATGGATATATTCTTTAACTAAACGTGATTCTACTAGTATGACTAAAGGATTTGAGAAACTTTTTAAATCTCAAATATGTCTAATTGACTAGTCTAAAGTTAAAGTTTTAATGGTAGATGGTGGTGTTAAATTTTGGGATGATGTTATTAGATTAATAAATAAATATGGTATCAATATTCTAATAGCTAATTCTAAAGAAAGTATGGGTATTGTTGAAAGGTTTAATAAGACATTACAAAAATAATTATCTGTTATTCAAGATGCTGTTGATATGAGATTACTTATATCAGAACGTTATTGAGCTTGGGTTAGAAATCTTCCAATTTTTCTTGAGAATCTTGATAATTCTATAACTCATCTTCTAGATATTTCTTCTGCTAATGCACAAAAACTGAAGTATGTTTATGCAAAACCTTCTAAGCCTTAAAATGAGCCTATAGGGTTTGATGAAAAGCAATTAACTTATGATATTCTTATAAGATATTTACTTAAATCAGGTGAGTTAAAAGGTGAAAGAAGATGTGTTGAAGATATAATTTGATCTCCTTAAGTTTATAATATCTGTGAATCTTTAGTACAAAAAAATCAGCCAGTCTTATATTGACTGGTAGATAATAAAGGACATAGTCTGAAAAGATCCTTTGTGAGAGAGGAATTGATGATCATTCCTTCTGACACTGAGTTGCCTTTCCAGTAGGTACTTACGAATTAAATTTCTAAAGTGATGATAAGAAGTCTTCTATCTCTTCATCAACTTATTTATTTGTAATAAAATAATTCTTAGCTAATTTATAGTATAATTTATATAGTTCCATAATAGCATTAAGAATCTTTAAATCTCGATCATAGTATTCTTTATAGTCATTTTTGACTTTATGATATTTAGATTCATTAGAAAATATTATTATAGCTAGTTTGAGAACATATTTTTCAGGATCCTCTGCCTGATATAATTTATTGATCCTTTCTTTATATGATTGCATGAATTTACCTTCTTTTGGTCTTCTATAATAAATATTAGTCTTGACAATATTTATTAATACCTGTTCGATTTTTTGATATGTGGGTTTTGTTTTAGCTAATTGAATTTGTGTACTCATAATGAAAGTATTGCTATTCCAGTGCTTATATTAATACTATGAAATCTTTTGTTTAAATTAAAATATTTATTTTTATTACTATGATAGGCGAATATTCTTGCAACTATTTATTCGGAACTAGAAAAATTTATAGGCAGACTTACCGTCAGTCTGAAGAATGCTTTGAACATTGAAAAGTTAGGAAGCGTCTTCCTTGTAAGGTTTGTGATAAGCTGATTAGCTCTAAACCTGAACTTTGTAAAAAGTATGCTAATAGGTATTATGTAATCTAATATATTAATAGGCTTCAGAATAAGGCTTTAGATACTTATCTAAAAGTTTAATATGTTAACCTTCTTTGAAAAATTTTTACCTATCACCTTTTATACCTAAGGTTAGATTTTTTTTTGACCTTAGATTTGTGTAATGCAAATAGCTTCAGAATGGTTTCTTGTATATTAAAAAATATTAGTATACTTGAATATGTTCTATAGCTTTTTAACTTTCTTATACACATATAAAAAATTTACATCTAAAACATGCTTAGGTGTAAATTTTTTACTTTGCTAGATGATAACAAATCTTTTTTAGAATTAATTCTAGAATAGCATAAATAATAATATATATAGAAAGTTTGTAAAGACTCCATAAGCTTGGCTTCAAACCTTCAGCTCTTACTAATCTCACTTCATTTTGAATCTAAACAAAACAGTATATTTTTTTTGATATATTATTTAGGATTAAAATTAGACTAGAAAGACTATAAGAGATGGATTTATTCTTGGTATTTTTCAGGGTAATTTAATGTCAAATTTGATATCAAATATTTAAATAGCAGAAAACACTCAAATTTGGGTTAGAGTTTTAAATTCTATAGTGGATTCTTATAGCTAGAAGGCTTTAGAAATATAGCTGAGAATCTTTCTGAATATAATTTTGGATTTTTGATCCTAGAACCCCTATTTTCGCTCTACTATTTATCTAATATTTGATTTATAAATAAAATCAATACTATTTAAAGTACATTTTCTTTGATTTTTTTAATAAAATAGTAAAAAGAAGAGAACTATTTAGAATTATTAAACAATTATTACACAAAGTTCAATAAAAAAAATGATATTTAACTAAGTTTACATTCTTTTATAAAATGTAATTGTTATTTTAAAGTTTTTAATAAAGCTGTTCTTTTAAAATTGTAAGCTCATCTTAATAAGTATTTAAATATACTAAGTAATGCTAAATTATAAAAACCATTCTAATACAAAATTCTATACCTTCAAAAATATCACAGAACATTCTTTAACTAATATAAATGTAATTCTTTATAAAATAAATAGATCTAAAAAACAAATCAAATTAGATAATTTTGTTGATAGTATGAAGAAAGAAAAATAAGAATCTTTTGAAATTTAATAGCTTAGGCATTTTATTCAGTTAAATATTATTTATCTTTATTAATAATCCCTTTGTTATTCAATTTTTTAAATATTTTTAATTATCTTTTAAGCTTTCAAATAAAAGAAAATAGCTAATAAATTATTAGATGAAGTTTATGAATATATAAAAATACAAGCTGATAAATAAATTTTAAAAGCAATAACTCTTTGTATAATTTCTTATGGCTGGTTTAACATTAACAAAGATTCAGTACATAATTTTATTATTTGAATTTCAAAATTATTTTTTGATACAACTTTTTTAGGTAAGAATCTCGTATAGCAGAATGGATTACAGACTAAATAATTTAACAAATAGATATTATTGGTATTCAAAAGTTTTTAGCAGTTATTACAGATACAACTAATATAATGAAAGCAGTATAAAAAAATATTAAAGAAAAATATACTAATATTGTTTTTTTTGGGTGTAACTCTCATATTATTAATCTTTCAATTAAAGATATTTTATTATTTGATGAAATTAAAGCTATAGTTAATAATGAAAAATCAATAGTAATCTATTTTAGATCTTATTTATAAGTAGTAGCAAAATTAAATTGTATTCAATTTGAAAATTATAATAAGAAAATTACATTAGTTTTACCAGTATTTATACGATAAAGTATACATCTTAGTTGTTTTCAATCACTTCAAAAATCAAGAATTGCTCTTGAATAATCATTGATGAATTCGTCAAAAAATGGATTAAATAATAAAAAATAATATATTATTAGATGAATTTTGACAAATAGTAGATTTGATAATTAATATTTTAGAACTAATAGTTGTAGCATTAAAGTCTTTTGAATCAGATACATCTACACTCTTAACAATTTATTCATATTATAGCAAATTAATAGAACAATTTGGTAAAGTTTCATGACATTTATCTAAAAATATTTAGCAACTTATTCAAAAAAGATAGGAGTATACATATCATCCTATTATGATGGCTGCTTATATGTTAGATCCATGTTTTTTAGAAGAAAGTAGGAATACAGATTTAGAGGCAACTGGATATTCTGAATTTACAGCATTTACTAACAAATTGTTTGATCAGGAGAAATCTGTAACATTGTTTATTGAGCTAGTAAAATTTCGCCAAAAAGCTTCACCATATGATAATGAAATAATTTGGATGTCATCATCTACTCTTAGTCCTTCTGTGTGGTGGCAATCATGGCTTCAGCAATTGGCTATTAAAATTTTTATTTCCTACATCATCAGCATCTGCAGAGAGAAAATTTTCTACTTTTGGATTTATTCATAGCAAAATCCGAAATCGATTACGTAATGATCGCGTTAAATAATGGAGGCAATGAAGGAGGCGATGATAATGACGATAATTTATTGAATTTTGATGATAGTATTTTCGGATTTGAATCAAATGTAATAAATTTGTTTTAACAATATTGATATATAGCTATTTGTATTATATAATATAATAAATTTCCGTTTAATAAGTAATATTGCGATAACGATAAATAAAAAAATTTTTTTTATATAAAATTTTATATTAAAATTTAAATTAACCGGTTAATTAACCTTGACGTTTACATATTTGTATGACATACGTGTGACATTAATTTGCTTATAAAACTTCGGACTTTAAAACGGTTTCCGTTTCCTAGTAATTAGTGAACTGACGCGTCCAATATAAGTTTTTGAAGACTGTAATTCTATCTATAATAACATAACATTCTCCTTTATAGTTTTACAATGATTTCTTCCTACACTAGAGTTCCTATTGACAGTACTCAAAATGGGTCTGTTCTACCAAAGACTCCAAGTTCCTTGGAGCAAGTTGTACCTAAACAACGATTTGTTATCAATAAAATGATCTTAAAAGATTTAAGTCTTATTCTGGTGAACAGGAAATAGGTCCATTTCACAAGGTATAATATATGCTTGGAGATTTACTGCGTCCCGAGATTCTCTCTAATCATTAAATTTAATTTCAAGTCATTTTCTGCTATTGTTGGATCAAATGGTTCGGGAAAATCAAATGTGATCGATGCGCTTTTATTTGTATTTGGTTATCGAGCAAATAAGCCAAATTATCAGAACTTATTCATTCATCGCAGGGGCTGGATGCTTGCAGAGTTGATGTATATTTTGAAGAAATTCTTGACTTGGTAAAGAAAAGTTTTAATTTCCAAAAAAAAAAAAAGACAAAAATTCACTTAAAATAATAACGCATGATGTTTATTAATATTATAGCCTGGTTCGGATAATTATGAGGTTTTACCTCAATCTCAATTGGTTATCTCGCGTCAAGCATTTCGTAATAATGCAAGCAAGTATTTCATAAATGGGCGACAAAGCAATTACACTGAAGTTACAAGTCTTTTGAAAGAAAAGGGGATCGATTTGGATCATAAGCGATTTCTAATTTTTTAGGTTCCTTTTTATTTATTTATTTATTTTTTGTTTTCATCATGTGGTAAATGATTAATGTATTGACATCATCAAAATTTTTACTTAAATTAAATGATTAGGGAGAAGTTGAATTAATATCACATATGAAACCCAAAGCATTAAATGAGCATGAAGATGGGCTCTTAGAATATATTGAAGACATTATCGGAACTTCTAAATATTAGGCCCTCTTGAAGATGTATATGAAAAGGGTGAAACATTGGATGAAGAACGATCAAAAAAATTAAATCGCCTTAAAATCGTTGAAAAGGAAAAACAAAGTTTAGAGGTAACATATTATTAGTAAATGGCGTTTGTAATCAAATTAAATAACAATAATGATTCGAACCTTATTGAATTGAAAGGCCAAGAAAAAAGAAGCAGAAGATTATCTCCGAGATGAAAACACGTTAACTTTGAAACAGTCCGCCCTTTATCAAAAAAAAATTTCTAGAATGTAAGATTAATACTGAAATATCAACTAAGGCTGTGGTAAGTTATTAGATTAAATAACTTAATCAGACAAGTTAATTTAATATGTCAATTAATTTATTTATTAATTCTTAGAATAAATTAAAAGATCAACTAAGAGAAGAAGAAGAAAAGAATGTTCAGATAAAACAAGATAACAAAGTTCTTGAAGATATATACAGAGATTCTGTTAATGTCTTTCAGGTAAAATAATTATAATATTTTACATATAAATAAATTTTCATTAACTTAATTATTGTATTTATTTTAATAAGCAACGTGAAAAAGTAGCAAATGAAATTATAGTAGAATCGGCAAATTATGAAAAAGTATATATTAACCTGGAAGAAAGAAAGAAACACGCAAATTCTAAGCAGAAGAAACTGACAATGAAAATTCCTACAGTAGGTTTATTTATTTATGTTATTTTGATGCATAGATATACAATAAGCTTTTACTATAGGATCGTCATGGACTTTCGGAAGCGAAAACAGCATTACGATTTAATGAACAGGATTTTGAATGATCGAATGAAAGAAATGGTGGGCTTGGAATATCTTTAAAGGATCAAGAAAGGGAGCTTGAAATAATCAGGGAAAGTTTAAAGGGTATGTGAATCGATTAATTTAATCTAATTGTGTAAATATCTTTTTTATATTGTAACTGAATTTAATTTAAATAAAGGCAAGTCAGAAGTTTATTAGTAAAATACAGTTATGCATACCGTAACTCGGCTACTCTTTTTTCAGTATAGAAAATACGGTTTGCGCAAGCACTCGCACCCATCTCTAACTTCGATAGCTCAAACTCTAATTTAGAGAGTTCATTCTTTTCTCTTGAAATCGTGGTTATAAAGATCTAATCTTTTCATTTAGTTCTTTCCACTGCATTTCAAAGTGGCTACGGTCGTTTTCCAATTTCGATATTGTCTCGGATATTATGTCCGAAGAAAATTTCGAACTCATGTCATCTTTAAAAACTTGGTTACCTCCGCCGCTCATAGTGCCAGATTTGTCAATCAATTGACCATTTAACGTGGCTACGCGCCATCGAGTATTAGTAAATGCGATCCTATTCGCTTGTTGCAGATTTTGGGCAACCAAAGTGTTTTGTAACACACTATAAAATGCTGGGATAAACTTATCATCTTTCGGCTTAATAAGATCAAAAAGATGGAAACATTTTCAGGTGTTGTATACATTGTAGGCAGTTCATTCAAAAGAATGAACATGGCGCAATCTAAATCTTTTTTTTTAAGGTATTCTATACAAGTTTGTCCAACTTCAATAGAATCAACTACGATATTGTTCAATGCAGGACAGGCAATTGAAATCTCAACATCGTATTTATCATCAATGACACAAAGGTTACCCAAATTATCCTAATTAAAAATTAAAATAAATAAGATTTTCAGCAAAACAAATTTTAGAACGTACCGCTCCGACGAACTTACATATTATCTTTTTATACGACCACTATCTTTGAGCTTTATCAAGTTACTAAGAACTTATCCTCTAGACTAAGAATTTAAAAGTCTTTTCGCCTCAGCTTCTCTTTGTCGAGAATCGGCAAGACTAGACTTGAAATGTACTTGCTGACTATGATAATGCTAAAAGTAATAAAAGATATTTATGAGAATCTTAAAATACTTAATATATTAATTTAAATGTTAAATAA